GTTTGTTTAGTATGTCTGTAGCATGAACTTAAACATGGGTTGTTTTCAATTTCAGGAACCTTCTGCAAATGTACTGCTTATTAGCTTGCTTAGGAAGATAGGCTTCTTTTATAGGGTAAGTGCTTGATTTAATTATTTTGTCTTGAATCAAACCTTATATGGTGAGTTTATCATATAACGTAGTTCGAAATGAAAAAAATATTATTAAATAAAAACATCTAGATTTTGCTATTGATTATTGATTTCTAAGGATATTGAATGAAGTGCCAATAAAACATTATATTTTTCATTAATTTTAGCCACTGATGGCAGTGATGCTAAAGTGAATTGGTAATTAATGATACTGTGGGTTTCAAATACAGTATATGATAAAAAAAAAGCAAAATGTCAAATTTTACTTTGAAAATATAATGCCAGTATAACTTAATGTGTCTTACTAGCAAATGCTTACATATTTGTGCATTTCTTGTTTAATTTTTATTTGTGTCGCAGGCCAGATTGAAATCCAGACAGATTTTAAAAAAGTCAGAATTGTAAATTCAATTTGGTCTAGGCAGATTTCAAATCGGTATAGGCCAAATTGAAATTTCAGTATTGCCTAAGATAAATTAAAATATGCATAAGATAGATTAAAATCTGACTAGGTAAGACTGACATTTCAATATAGCTAAAGAAATGATTTCAGAAAGATATTTTATAATTCACTCTGTTAATTATAAGGGTGTTAGTCAGAGAGTAGTATAATATACCCAACCTTACTTTTGTGCCAGAAAAAGAAAGTCAATTATTTAAATGAATGTCTGGCTTGAGTTGGTTATCATGCATGTGCCTATATATACTGTCTCTGACTTACATCCAAACTATCCCAGAACAAATTTGCCTACAAGTTTTTACCTATTCTCTAACTTCCAAACTCTTCCAACAGACTAACCACTTACATTATGTAAAGGTAGTTACAAATTGTATTTTTAAACAAACTATGGTGTTTATCTCACTCTGAAGTATGAGAATAAGGGCAATAAAAACTTAAGAACATCTATTAGAATTTCTTTCTTGACCCATTTATGACCTAACCTGAAAATTCCATCTAAATTCATTAATAAGTTTTTGACTGAATCCTGTTATTATTTTTCTAAAGAAACTTGTTTACTATCTTCTTGAGATATTATAATTTAATGTATAGGCCTTTTATCTTCTCCATGAAGAAATTGCATTGTGGGAATGTGAGTCCTTGTTATGTCAAAGCACTTGTAGCTGTACTAAGTACCATGCCTGGGTTTATGTACTGTGTCCTGTTACAATAAAAATGGGTGAATTTTTAAAGGTTCCCAAAAATAGGGGTAGAAAACATTGATAGAGCCAGAAAGAAAGGGAAGTTAAGCAGGTTAATTTGGGCCAAGAACAGGACACTGTGTTTGCGACAAACATTTCAAAAGCAGGAAGAAAACCTATAATAGTAGAAAACCAATAATATTTAAATAAAAACCAAAAAAAGGTTAATAAATTGAGGGGAATTTGGCAAGACATCCTTTGCATGTCAGTGAAAATGAAATGTCTAAAAATGCAAAAAGAGACAGAAGAGGTCATAATGATCAATCCTACTGCATGTAGTATTCAGACCCTCACGAACTGCTAAAATCTGTCAATGGAAATAAAAAAAGAACTGGAATTATTTATGAAATGGAGGAAAATGTGCATGCTCTTCAAATATAATTTTCAGAGAAATTAAAGCATCTGAAGTAATAGCGGGCTTATTTGCAACAGGTGAATAAGAATCCAGGGGAAAACCATGTGTGTATAGAAAATCATAAAGATCTGAAGAAAAAAGCTGAAGGTCTTTGAAAGTCTGTCAAAATAACCCTATGTGTTGGATTTCAATGGGTGTGCTTTCATGTGAAAGGTGTTGGATTTGTCTTATTATAACATAACATTTTATGTTTCCCAACATTGCTGTGTATTTTAAACTTTTAATTCTTAGCCAAAAATGACACTAAAACGTCGCTTAAATCTGGGACACAGACATACCCGTCCGTTTTTAAGCTCTCAGAAAAGGAAAGTTAACTTACAAAGCACCATCACAATATCTAGCATAGACTTTTAATTTGATACTGCACAATTAAAGTTACTACAAAATGTCTTTTACAGTTTTATAAACTACTCATACATTTGGTAAAGGCACTAAATGAATAATAAATATAATCTAGCCATGTATATGATAAGTAATACAAATATATTAAGTAAAAAATTTTAAAGTGTAGAAATAAGTCTTTGTTCTGTCTTAAAAATGTTGCGAAGTATGAAATGCATGTACATGGAAAACATATATCTGATTAATTAATAAGAATACACCTGAAACCATTAAATAATTTGCAGTATTTCTTTAATTTTGTTTTGGTCTGATGGATTTAGTTTCAGTTTGACAGAATTTTCACACTTGACAGACCGAATGGCATTTTTTATCTGTTGTAAAGTTTGTACATGTAACAGTGTAAAACATGGTAAACTGTGTAATTATCATTTAGGAAGGTGTCGAAATTACCTGTCTCACCTTTTTAACATATAGCATTAGAAGGTGTTAATTACAGAGGAAAGCCCACAGTTATAGCTCACCTTACGGAACAACTGAAGTAACAACTGGTGCCTTATCTGGTGCCAAATCAGTTATCCAACAAACAGTCTGCCTGTCAGTTTTACCTGTATACATGGTAGGTACAAGTAAAACAATGCAGGAAATCTTTGCACTTTATTTTTATGTACAGACACTGAATCAATGATACTGAAGTATTTTATTATTAAAAAGTGATGGTCATTATGTTGTAAAGCATTATGTAATGTTGCATCAAAATTGAAGAAAACCCTATTATGTGCACTGCTGCCACACATACCATTATAGGAAAACCATGTTACTTATGATTCTCAAACTTACTAAAAAAAGTCATAGGACTGAAATGCAGCTTGAGTTGGAAAACCAGTCTGATGGCATTATCTTGTGGAAGCAATGCAGTTCTTAACAAAATATTCGGCATGAAGTCAAATGGTAACCAAATGTTCTGAAGGTTCATGTTATGTATGGTAGATAATCAAAAATTGGTGGTGATTATACTGTTAATCATTAAGTAATATTGAATAAAAATTGACAAAAAACCTACTTTGTGTAATGCCACCACAAACGTTATGAAAGGAGATTGTGCTACTCATTATTTCATAACTTACTAGAATGATTCTTATGATTGAAGTACAGCTCAGATAGGAAAACCAGCTTGACTGGATTTTTAATTTTTTTCCTATATTTATGCAATTTTTTATGACATTTTCATTTTTGTCATTCCAGCATTTTCTAAATATGAACTTAACTGGCCTTATGCTAGCTACACATTTTACTTACATCGGTATTACCTGTTGTACATAATAAAATTTGGTGTTGACTTTGCTGGAAAAGCATAATGTATTACTGCATCAAAATTGACAGTAGCCTGTTTTGTGCATCACTGTTTTCTGCTTTTTGTCTGTACATTTGAAAGCTTTGGTGCCTTGTTTCAAAAATCTCTTACAAATACCCCACATGAAATGATATGGTATTTATATAAATGAAATGATATCCCCGCAGCTTGCATTAAACATGTACCCATCCATAAACTTGATAAACTTGTGTATGTGTTTGCTTGCTACTTTGATTTTATAACAAATATAATGGGTCTCTTTCACATGTCTTCATTGCTGAAAGCATTTTAAAGAATATATTGAGTATAACTATAGTCCATCATCACTAAAGCAAGTGCAGCCAAGGTTCGGCGCTTAAGTGAAGCCATGTTGTACATTGCATCATATTTAAGTTAAGTAATAAAACATTTAATTGCTTGCTTCACTGTCCAACTAACTCTGTCTCATTGCCTGTAGTTGACACATTTCTGTGCTTCAGCCACCTTTTTAGTTCTGGCAACGTGCATGCTTAGAACAGCTTTTTTATGCATGCATCAGGTACGTCACCCTCACATACCGATGCCTTGCTGAAAACATCAGAGGACTACAGTGACCCCTGTGGTGCACTGTTCCAATAATGTGCACTTTTCATTTCTGCAAAAGATGAAAAATACCTATATTCAGCCATCTCTAAAAAATGTCATCAGTGTGTACCGCAATCATGAAAGTTTTGTTTTATATCTGGTATAAGTTTGTTTTCTCAGAGAATAATTGTGTTTCACTCACTCTAAAGATGCATTTAAAGTCAGATTCATCCTGATGCATTTTTGATGTGACAGCACCATAACATAACAAAACATAGTTTATTTTTGCATCATCTAAGCAGATAAGGAAATAGATCTGAACATATTGATCTACCTTATAGATGCATTTGAAGTCAGATCAAAGATGCATTAAAAGTCAAATTTTTGCCAAAAAACTTGACCAGAAGTCACCATAAAGTTTCAAATAACATAATCTTGTAGAAAAACCAAAGGACATCATTTCTTGAATAATGATATTTGAACCGATATTTTCTGCTTTCCTTCTGCTTTGGAGTGAGAATGATGATTATGCAATGCATATGGAATACTACATCATTGTGTGAATCTTTATTAAAGATGCATATGAAGTCAATTTTTTGGCATAAATGCCAACCAAATGTGAGCATATAGTTTCAGATAGTGTAGCTTTTTTTTAGCTGACCAAGAGATAAATTTAGTTTATGACTTGGCTTGTTGACTTAATGGCTTATATGTGTTGCTGGGAATCCAAACGAAACTTTCAAATACAAATAAACCCAAATATAACCAGAGTCTTCACACACACACACACACACACACACATGCATGCTTCATAGTCCAAGATAACTAAAAACTTTTTTAAAAAAATGTCTGTTCAAAGTCTTTAAAAGATACATAAAAAATAAACAAATAAGTAAAATTGAGGCATATTTCTTCCACTTCAACCATGACAAAAATGTCCTTGAAATCTTACATGAAGTTTCTTCTTAGATGCATCTTAGCAGAAGGAGTCTTATAATGAAGGAAACAGAGAATCATTACACTAATCTCTTCGATGGTCAGTAGGTCTCAATGGGAAATTTTACAATAATGACAAATCAACACCCAAGACATACTCCTGGCTAATACCAACCACATATTGCCCGGCCAATGTAATTTTCTGATGGAAAGATAATGTCTTGAACAATAGGTGAGTATCTGTGGTCTTAGTCTGCTGGGACCCCTATGCAAGTGGAACTCAGTTTATTCCGGGAGATATGATCAGCCAGAGTGGTGCTGTAAAGAAGATAAGTTACATGAAGTTTTCCTCTGTTGTTGGTCAGACTTGCCTCATACCTGCTGGCTTTGTGAAAACAGGATATTTTTATCAGTATGTGAGAGATTTCTAACACGACGGAAACCCAGCGGGTGAGATGCTTTTTCGTTAGGAGTGTTATTGGCAGATAGTCTCACCAGTACTTCACCTTGTTTGGAATTTTAAAACATTTAGTGATTTATCGGACAGCAAAAATGTTTGAAACTGATATAATATGGTATGTTGCTTTAAACTATTTTTCCGCAAAGTTTGTAGTCAACATTTTACAGTTTCTGCAGGCATTGATTGAAAATGGTCACTCATTTGTGCTGCCCTCTGTTTTTTTGTACACAGACTAGAATTGTTTTGTCTGACTTGTCAACACCTGATAAAATTATCTGGAGATGGATCCAATTTTTTTTCAGCTGAGAACTTTAATAACTTAAATCTACTATACCTTAGTTATGTGAAAAAGCAAGCATGAATGCTGAATCCTAGGATTAATTGTTGTTCTAGAGCACAATTTAAAACTTTCTTGGGAGAAAGGATGTTCCACTTCTAATCTTTCCCAATTGATGTGTGCATTATTTAACCCTGTCAGTCACCTTGCTTGTTTTCTGTAAAACAAGAAAGCTTATAGTGTAAAAAGAAATTTGCTTCAATTTAATACTTATTACTGTTTTAACAATAAGAAAAAACATGTTTCCAAAAGTATCCTAGAAAAGAGGTATTGGAGTCTGATGGTCAGTCTATGTATGGTTTAATATTGATTTCTTATAATGTGAATGAAATAGACTGAATCTTGCCACGTCTCTATTTCATTAAGAAAAGATCTCTTATCTTAATAGCTTTTTATATTGCTTGTATAAATTGTTGGTTAGTATGCACATTAATTGTCTTCTTAGCTCCTTTGTGCGCACTTGTGTTCAGTTTTTGACAGTACTGTTAAAACATGAGGAGGGGAAAAAGGCCTTTTTGTCCCAAGAAAAAAAGTTTGTTTGGTTACACAGTTGTTGGGTTTACTTGTTTTAATTGATATGCCTTTTATTAATTGTCTAAAGAACATTCTACAGAGCTATTCTATCATCTCATCCCAACATAATAAATAGAATAATTTTAAGATAGAACAATGAGGCACTCTCTGTTTATGTCAGTAAAAGATTTCATATCACTTATTTTTTGCTTTTTCTAAAATGTCAGACTTAATAATAATGTAATGAATTTTCCAATGCCAATCATTTTAAAACACCAACATACCCAACATTTCTCAGTGAATGAATCATGAGTAGTTCCTTCATATTCAAATTAAAATAGTATCAGTGTCACTTGATGACCAGGTTTTTCTCATTTGTCTGTTTAATCTTACTTACAATATACTCATTGTCAAAATGAGTTCTATATATCTTAAGCAGTTATTATATATTAAAAGCCATTATCTGTCATTATTTCTTAATATATTGCCTTCATCCTTTTGGAGAAGGGCAATTTAGATTTGAGCAATAGTTATCCTAATTTAAATGATCAGTTTCATGGGTTGATGATCCTTGAATGTCCACTGGTGTTTTATCAAAAGAAATTTGGCAATACTTAATGTTACTGCCAACATGAAGAACTTATTATAAGGTCCTGTGTATTTTATTTGATAAGGATTATTGTTATGCTTTAAGAGTGCATTCAGAACAACAGACTAACAGATCTGCAGATCAAATATGGCGACCCACTAAAAAGCTTGCCATTTAATTTCCAATTAGTCAATGAATATATTCCCTGCAGGTCACATTCAGGTGGTTCGGCCATATTTGTTCTGTGGATCTGCTAGTCCGCTGTCCTGAATGTGCTCTAAGATGAATGTAGTAACACTGCTAACCTTTGTTATATTAAGGTTAGTTAGTCCATTTGTAAATAGTTTTTGTCATTTTGTACCCCTTTTAATTTGTTCTTTGAATCTAGAAAAACATTTGAGATATGTACTGGTAGGTCCCAAAATGTCTGTAACATGGACAACACATAATACTATGCCCTGGAATGACAGGCTTGTATGAAAGTTCACAACCAAACTTGTTAAGACAAAAAATAGACTTAAGATCCATTTCCATTTAAGTTGGAACCACCCAACATAGTAAGGACTATCAGAATAGACTTATTATGTCACCTTAGGGAGACATGTAATGGCACTACTCTCTGCAAGGGTCACAGATGGATTAATAAAAATTTTTGCTAAAAACCTACTTTGTATGCCCACTTAATCTTTCATTTTTGTTTTTTAGGAAGCATAGCGCTTTTACATGCCTGACCAGGTTTTGCTGTAACGAGTCATGTACAGTAGTAGTAGCAGCAACAGCAATACAAGCAATGGTATGCATGTGGAGAGAACTGCAGCAGACAGTGAGTAGTAAACGTGCACTAGAAAACATTCAGTTGGTGTTTGTGTCATCATCTATATACTCTTTGTTTATGACAGTACAGATGATGATTCTAGGCCTGCAGTTTCAAAGGGGTTTCTTTTTCTTAAAATGTGGACCTTTTTAATTTTTGGTTGAACCAACTTGAGATATGGCCTAGAACCTGGATCAAGGGCTTTTTTTCTAACCCCCAAAGTCCTGCTGCCGACAGGCCTGAACTCGGCTACAAGAGGGAGTCTAATCCAGAGAGAATAAGCCAATTTTATGAGTGCTGTAATTTCAGTTGATTTTAAACTGCTTTAAATTTTAAGTTTTGTACAATAATACATTTTGTTTTAAGTGATTAAGAGGTTTACAGTTTTCATTCAGACTTTGTTTTTTGTTCAAATTTGTCAAAATTGAATAAAAATATTCTTAATTTAAAGTGATTCAGCAGCATGCAATATAGATTTTTCAAAATTTCACTTTTCTTTCAGGCCTTCAAACATACAGTTCTGTGTCAGCAGAACCCTACAGCTATGGCAAACCACTGGACAGCAGTGGTTGCCTGGGCGAGAAAGATCAGCATTATAAACACTTCTTGCACCAATCACTACCACACCAAGCTCTCCCACCTGGGCATCACCCTCATATTATGGCGTCAGTGGGTAGCCATCATCCTCTGCCAAATCCTCCCATTACTAGCCCACATGGTCACCTGCTTAGCCAGCTTCAGAGGCCGCCTGCTAACTTGATGCCACTACACATGGCTTCAATGCCTGATCACAATGGCGAGTGAATTTTGTGTTAGCTTTAGCTTTTGTGGCGATAGACAGTATCTGAACTACACTATTTAGTGAGGGGGGGGGCTTATAATTTCTGTCAGGAAAGGTCTGCCTTAGTGGGAGTCTTTTTTTTCTGTCTAGTTATGAAAGGTCTGCCTTTTGGTTACTTAAAATTTGTTTGGTCTTGTATTTAAATATAACAAATATTTCAGTATGAAAATTTTCCTCATTATCATCAAATTTAGAAAAGAATATCCCCCATGCTTATTTTTACTGAAAATTTCATATACTGTAGAAGAATTGAGATAATTTTATAGAATTTCACACATAAATAATAAGTTCCTAGAGTCATAAATGAACAAGCAGCATCAGTAGTGAATTATCAGGTCACACTTCACAGTAATATTAATTAAGAAAGTCAAAAGGTGTAGTATTGCAAAGAGAGTACAATTAACTTTTATTATTATTCATATTATATTACTCCCTTTTTTATTCAAATACATACTAAAATGTACTTAAGATATTTTTTTCAAGTGTGTTGTAAAGGCGTATATATTTCTCTTTTTGTAGGTGAAAATCACATATACCGCCAAGCACAGTTGCCCACATATCACCATGCCATGAACTATGATATGTATTATAATCAACACAGTCCAAATAGTCAATCTCCCTCTCCACCGCCACCGCCACGGATTTATAAGCCATGTGTTGTATGTGGAGACAAATCTTCAGGTTATCACTATGGAGTGAGCTCCTGTGAAGGTTGCAAGGTATGATGAATATGGAATTGGAGGAATTTTTTTATTAACAGGCTCATAGAAAGAGGGTTTGGGGTATTTGTTGTTACAAGTCTGTTTTTCAGTCCTGATATAACTGTTCATTTGCCAGGTTTTGGCCATAATTATCCAATGATTCATCTGTAATGGCAACCCTTCATGTTTCGCAAGCATGTTTTACAGTGATATTTTACACGTCATTTTACATGTAGCATTATGCTTTTCAATCTTTCAAACTTTCTAAAAACCCATGTGCTGCAGGGGTTCTTTCGAAGAAGTGTCCAGAAAAACATGCAATACACCTGCCACAAGGATCGCCACTGCGTTATTAACAAGATCACCAGGAACCGTTGCCAGTATTGTCGTCTGCAGAAATGCTTCACCATGGGCATGTCCAAAGAAGGTATTAAATTGTTCCCCAAAAACATCATTATATGGATCATAATTGCCCCATTGACATTTTATTTTACCTTGTTCTAGTTTCCCGCATGCCCTTCAATTAAAAAAAAATTGATTAAAATCACAATTTATTTATCGTTTGTTGCTAAAATTCAAATGCAGTTGCTTAAGTTTGTTCATATTGCATGATAAGAACTCGCTGTTTACTTGTAAAAGTGCACCTATGCAGAGTTAATTTGATAGGAAATGGTAAGTCACATCACCAGTCAACCAGATAATGTGAGAGATGCCTGAAAGATTTTAACATCTGACTGGCAATGACAGTAATGACCAGTCTAGTTTTGTAACCATCTATTAAAACTGCAGTCCCAAATCTTTTGTTTATGACTCTTTATTGCATTAACTTATGTGATTTAATTCATTTATTTAATTACACCCTTAAAAACATTATTCAGTTCTTTTGAAATTAATTTTTTTACAGTTTTTCAGAATACTGCTTCCAAAGTTTTTTTTTTCATATTTTTTAAGTTGGCCATGGGTAATTGTTTAGATAAATGATGAAAATTAATGAACCTTGGGTAGATATTCTTGCTTAATGCTAATAATTACAGATGTGCATTAGCACTCTCAGACTGTTGTTTTCTGACACACACTAAAATTCTAGCAAAAAAAAAGTGCACACCCTTTTATGTTATGGCCAGGTCTCTTCATATATGACTAAGAACTGCTCAGGTGTACTGTGAATGTCAATTAATGTTAATTACTTCTGTCTCATTTTATCCAGACCAGCTGTGTCTTGTTAATGCAAAAGACAAGCTTATTTGGTATCTCAATGGTATTAATGTATGTTTTTTAAAAGTTAATTTATCTCAGAACATAAGTGTAGAAATGAAAATACTTTCCAACATTAGCCAAGAGGAATGTGAAAATCAAAAACATCTTTTAAATGGTCAGAATAATTCATTGAAATGGGTGGAAAATAGAAAACTTAAACTTCTTATTCCAGCTGTCAGAAATGACAGAAACAAGAAAAGAAAAACTAAATCTGAGGACTGCGGATCAACATCCCAAGAACAAACAAATGAGCTGAAGCCCGAGCAACAAACTCTGCTAGAGGGGATTGAGACTGCACACCATGAGACTTATACTAGTGTAGAAGAGGAGGAGTATCATACTCTGGTATGTACTGGAAAAACTATGATAAGGACTCCTTTTTGGTATAACTTTAAGATTTTTTTTTTTTAAGTTATGGACTGTATCATAATAAAGCATGGCCTTAGAATAGATGCCTAATTGATCTAAAACTTTAAAGTTCACATGAATAACTATATTTCAAAATTTTTAGGGTGCTTGTCACCATGTTTCTTCTAATTTTTTAAGATTTATTGAAAGATATGTTTGACGAACAATCAAAAAACAAATCAATGAAAAAAAAAACCCTTTGCCTTACAGGAAGACCTCAAAGATAAAATAAATGATGAAAATTTTAATCTCTGGGAGCAAGTGACAGAACTGTCCTCAGATGGTATTGTTAAAGTGGTGGATTTTGCAAAGAAAATCCCGGGTTTTTCCTCGGTCAGCACTGGTGACCAGATAACACTGCTCAAGGCAGCATGTTTGGAGATTATTGTGAGTATCTGTGCTTTTGTTGGCTTCAAAAGATCTAAGAAATGTACCACTTCCTGGCTAGGAAGTAATTTCAAACATCCAAATCAATTTCTCAGGGATTTTAATATCCTGTTTTAGCTGTGTGCCTGCATAGTTTTAAACTCACTTAAAAGCACCTTTTAGATACAGGCAAAATGAGCATCTTAGGAATTTATTGGCCTTGTAGAAATTTCTGTTCTGTATGAGTCCTCTTGCACATAAAAATTTTTTTGATGCCACAGTGTCTCCAATAATAGTGTTTAAAGACTGGAAATCTACATGAAACTTTAAAAAAAGATAAGATAATGGTTCTAAAAGTTTCACATATTTAAGAATCATTAACCATTTTCATATGATAACAGCATTAATTATTTATTCAATTATGTCAAAAGAAATCATTTTCATGTGATGATAAAAAGAAGTATTTTTTCACTTATGTCAGAAGTAATCAGAAGATGGAGTATTTTGTTTTGAAAAACATTGTTGCCTATTTCTCCTTCAGATATTAAGGATGTGTTCTAAATTTGAAGTCAACCCAGAGACAATGATATTTTCCAATGGGCTGAAATTGTCCAAGGAAGAATTCAGGGATTGCGGTTTTGGATCACTGACAGAAACTATATTCAGTTTTGCATCTTCTCTCAGAAATATGGACACAGATGATGCTGAATATGCAATGCTCGCTGCTATTTGCTTAATAAGTGGAGGTAGATAAATTTGACAGGTTTCAATTTATATTTGAAATATTTTTCTATCTTTTAAATATCTTTACTGCAGTTTCTTACAGATGGCTCTTGCAAAGCAGTTTGTTAGAAATTGATTTATTCTGCAGAGATATCCATTTACTTTTTCAGGATTTGAAAATTTTAGTTACAAAACTTTTCAATATTTCAGATCGATCTGGACTTGAAGATCCAGAAAATATTGAAAAGCACCAGGAGCCTCTTCTAGAGGCCCTGAAAAACTATGTGCATAAGCGCAGACCCACGCAGTCTCACACCTTTGCCAAAATGTTGATGAAACTTACAGACTTAAGGAGCATCAGTGTTAAAGGTGGGGATATTTTGAAATTTCTTTCATTTTCAGTGAAAGCATGCAGTATTTATGGAGAAGTTTTGATAATCTTCTACATTTTTTTTGTAGTAAATTGCTTTTATATTCAGAATATAGACCATGAGATATAACTACTTAGGTATGTGTAAAATTCTATTTGAAATATAAATAAGGTTTCTTGAAAAAATGTTTCAGTCCTGCATTTTTGATGAACAAAAGAAAAAGGTTATGGCTCATTGTTTGTGTCTTTGTAGGTGCAGAACGTGTGCTACATTTACAAATGGGCCAGCCAGGGGAACTGCCTCCATTGGTTATAGAAATGTTGGACAGAGCTGAGAATGTTTGTTTACCATAACAGACGGGTAGAAAACAGAACAACTACCTCTCTATCACAATACTCAGAACTAGATGTTGTAATGCTGATGATATGATGCAATTTAATAGTTTATTTTTTCTTTCCTTTGTAGTTCTTAAATGCATAGCCAATAGAATAGGTGCACATGTGGGAGAGAGAGAGAGAGAAAGAGATAGTCGAGTTAACTGATCACAAGTGTCAATTGATTATCAAAGCAAGGGGTTAGTACATATATGAAGTGCTACAACGATTACTTTCAATAGTTCTGTATGCCATATAATGAATAGTTTTGCTCAAGTAATGTCATAAATTTTAGATCCTCCATCTGTGTCACACCTCTCTGTGCCTAATGAAGAATATCCCTGCCTTGTTTTTACAATAATATACCAAGGAACAGGCAGCGATTAAACCATTCATTGCATGATTCTATGTAGTAGTTAAGAGTATTAAAAAGAAGTTGAAAATGGTGATTATTTTATTTTCAATTTTCTTTATCCTTGTTTCTTTCTCATTGTTAAAGGTGGAGATGCATTATTTTCCAAGCACAAGTTAAACATTTATTATTATTATCATCATTATTATTCTTAAGGGGAAACAGGGTCTCTCTCTTTAATACGCAGTATATTGGATGTTTAAGGATTTATACCTTAGGACAATAGACTGTCCTAGATGTGCTCAAGATGAGATTGTACATGTTAAAGTACCGGTGACTTAAAGTGTTTAAATGTGTACTCTCATATGTAAATTCTAGGGCTAAATGCACGAAGGTATTTTTTTTTTTCTCATAGAGAAATATAATGCACAAAGACACAGTGGCAGGGAGCTTTACACAAAGTTTGAAAAAACATAATGTATCTTTCACAGGTCCCTGGAGGCGTCCATTTTGTTGTTAAGGATTATCAAAAAATGTTTTTAAAGGTCTCTACTCAGGAAGTTGTTTATAGACTCATGTCTATTGATGCATGACATTAGGATTTATTTATCCTGATATCTGTGAATATTATTATGTAGTATAGAATATAATAATAAGAACCGGTGGAATTTGATAGTATTGTTGTACAGTACTTTTTAAGTGTAATTCTGTAGCTTATTATTATTATATTGCATAATGATAATGGTGGAAGTTGAAAATAACAGTAAACCATATCTGGATGTTGGGAATGTTGATTATCAATTAGTTCATCATAAATTTGATCCATTCTGAAGTGAAATATTTAAAGAAATAGATCTTATATTTGTAGTAATTGTTGATTGTAACTTTTATTAGACTAGTATATGCAGTGTAGTGTGTAGACTTTTTCCCTTATATGTGTAGGAGGCAAGGCATATATTTGACTGGGTTGGGACTCTGTATTGTTGGGGTTAAATTATTTTTTTAGCATTATACAGGTGATATGCAGAGTTCCTCTTGTATTTTATACAAAGCAGTCACATGCAATGCAGTACTACTTGTATATTGTACATAATGCATTTAACGTCATTATTGTTGTTGTTATTATTGCTGTTGTTCCTATTGTGTGGGATTTTCATTTAGTATTTAAAACAGTACAGTCCAAGAGAGATAGAGAACAAAGTGAGAGCAATTATCCCATCTTGGATTACTCAGTTTGCACAACCTGTGCTGCCACCTATAATGCTCTTAAGAAAACAAATCCTCTCAAATGCAATCAAGTCTTATACCGGTGACATCTAATCAGTTACTTGAAAGTCATACGGAGGCCTAAGAATGTCATCTTATATTAATGTGAGGCATTCTTGTTAGTTGCATCTTGCTGGTGATAAATAAGGCACTGCATGCTAGACAAAACAATATTAAATATTGATTTTTCCATTTTGATTTAGGACCTTGTTTGTATACTCAAAAATAGTATTGTATTTAGATTTTTTTCTTTTTGCATCATAATCCTATGTAGAAGTGTGGAGCATAAGTGTTGTTAAAATGCTGTTAGTCTGATTTGATCTAGAATTCGACTTGTAAACTGATATTGATGTTATAGTTTCAGTCTAATGCCATATTTGTCGGTCTTCCGAAATAGTTTCTTTTGGGTATTATTGTGGAATAAACTATATATACATATATATATTCAATATCTGGATATTATTCTTTCACTTTTGTAACTTATGATACCACATACTTATAGCTCACCATAATAGACCACCCCTTTGTTTTGGGAGATGTATATAAAAGCACATTCTGAAAAGCAAAACTATTTTCTCTTTGTTGCCATGATGAGCTAGAAAAATGCCTCGCCATGACCTCAACTCGACCACTGAATTAATTTGGGCATAACAACATCTATTACATAATTAATTTTTTTTCTGATATTAGATTGCATTTTAATACAATTTTTTATAAATCTTGATGTGATAAAAGAATTGAAATAACTGGTTGTTAAGAAACCCCGCCTTTATATAACTTAATAAAATCATTAACAATTCACTGATAACTTGACTGCACAAGGAAATGTTCATTCTGGGAGACTTCCATATACTTGAAACTGAACATTGTCCATAGGTAAACTGCACATGGACCTTCTCCAGAGCAAAAGCACTTGAACTTGAAATATTGTTTTTATTTCTGAGTATTTAAGAAAATAACTACATAGTGTACATTTGCAGAGGTATTCACAATGTCCTCTCAATTTGCCCAAAATCTGAATCAATAAATAACTTCCTGGTTGGCTAATGCTGCCAGGAACTCTGAAGAAACGTGGTCTTTGTAGATTATTAATTTCTCTTCTTTGATTACTTTCGTTCTCATATGTTGCCACAAAGCATATTACCTTCTCTGAGTGTTAATTTATTGTTTAAAAGTTACACTATCAAGTTTGTTTAAAACAGTTTTAATGAAACAATACCTGGTAAATTAAAACATCAAGCCATGTTTTCAAACTTCAATATTATCTTCGTTTTTCACTTTTCCGTCAAGCATACCTTTTTCTGCCACAATGAATACAGCTACAATCTTTACACAGTGCAATATATACAAAATGGGGTTATATTTTAACATGCTTGTATGGCTGAATATCTTGGCCTTAAATTGCATTATACAGCTTAAAAGAAATCCACAAATCTACATTATTTGGACATTTTTGCTGGTGCAAATTGCAATATTCCCTAAAATTTTGTAATACCTTAACATGCCCTGACAATGAATTTATATTTGGCTGAAACATTAACCACCACCAATATACCGGTTCAAAACATGCTGACCAATTGAATTTTACATCAATAGGCAGGAACCCCTCGGTAAACATATTTGAGAATGAACAAATAAGTCTTCTTTTATCAATAGTCACCAGCTAGTAATCCTGCCAAAGAAGTGGCATGCTAGTTAATTCAACAAAATATGTATACACTTTGCAAAATATTACCAATGTTGTCCACTCTTGACACATTCAAGCACAGAAAGTAACCCCTTAATCATTTGCATATTAAATATACACCATACAGAACACCAATACTTCACATTAACCCATTGGTCAAGTCCATTCAGTCTATCCTCCCACTTATCATTACATACATATGTGTATTGTCATTATGAAACTGGCGTTGTCTGCGGAACTGGGGGCGTTGACGATGCTGTTGATGGTGGAGCCACCTCTTGGACAGGTGTTGCCTGAACATTGGGGAGAGGAGCTGTCATAGCTAGCGTTGTGCTCAGAGAAACTGGTGGAGGTGGAATAGAGATATCAGAAGGCACTGATAGGGGAGAACCTGCAAGCAGACAACAAAACCCAGTTATTCTTCTGTCACGACCATTCTTTTAACAAATCAAAATCCCCATTATACAATATTCACTCTCAAAAATGCCTTAAAAATTAAAAACTGATATACAGCATCTTTTTTATTACCTAACACTATTGTTCTTAGCACTTTTGTAAGTCATATTTGGCAAAATTCCTTAAAAGGTAAAATGCACTCATTCAATCAAAACAATGACCAAATTAACAATCTTGGCATTTCAATATGATGGATATGAATTTGCCACTAAAATGTTTAAGAAAGAGCACAAATACCATGAAAGCAAAATTGCCTACAATACACATGATAAAAAACAGTCAGGTTAAGCAGTAACAGTCTTACCAGTGGAGAAAGTTCCTGTAGTTGTAGAATTCAGCAATGGTACAGACAAAGGTGGCAGCCCAGCAATGGATATTGGTGTGGTTAATGGTGGTAAATTTGCTAAGTTTGGTAAACCAGGGAGGTTGGGCAGTCCTGCTGGTGCGGGAAAACCTAGCACAACAAAATTTCACATCGTCTATGAATCAATTTAATCAGTTAGTTACCTGGGGATCTCTCATATATACTTAAATGCCTCTGTCACAGATTCATAAGCTTTAGAAATTTCCAGGGTTTTTATTCCCTTCCACAAATACGCTTCCAACTGTTTGGAAGCCCCAATGCACTAATCAAATTTAATCTAGTTAACTGATCGTGTCAAGTGTGGGGACTCCATTAACTCAAACTGGTCATATACAAAAAAAAAGCATAGATGGCTTGAAGGACTCCTGGTCAGTCTGTTTTGTTAAGGTCTATATGTAACTCACCAGCTGGCATGGAGCCTGGAGTCGTGGACGCTGTGTATGGCATGGCATGATTTCCAGGAGATGCCACAGAGCTCTGAGGAATCACAGGAATGGTTGGAGACCCTGCAAAATAGAATGTTAAACATAACACCTCTTTCAGGATGCACACAGTCATAAATATCATGATGTTTAAAACAACCCTTGTCAATCCTTGTATTCACTAAACTCACATCTTACACCACATACAAAAACAGAATATAAAAACAGAATGTACCAGCACAGATACCTTAGCTCAGGTGACACACATTACTCTGTGATGTTCACCCATCTATAAAACTACAGCCACACACTTGATACCAAAGACATTTTTATCTCCGATAAAGAGGAGAATGGGCCCAGACAAGGAGAGACAGAAATCATATGAGTGGATTGAAATACCCACCCTCAACAATGGCCTGAGACACCAACTACCGCTGTTGGACTGTGGGATTTTACTGGACCATGCAGGGGAGTAAAAAAAATAATTCCCTAGTTTTGGTTGCCATTGTATCAGCTGGCAAGAAAGGTTCCAAGAGCGCACACCCCTCCCACATATCAACCTACTTACCTACACATAAACCTACCTGTATTTAATGCTGGATTGATCAGGGTCTGTGGTGCAGCTGTATGGTTGATATTCAGATTGGCCATTCCTTGCAATGGGACCTAGAACCAAGTAAGTTTATGTTCATTTGAACATAAATTAACATCTCATATTTCTGGTATAATAACAAGCATATTTCTTTTCTAAATCAGTGATCTACAAAAACAACTATACATACAACCTTGCAAGCAGAATATCAATGTTTACAAGAAAATATCACCCCCTGCCGCCCACTAGACGCTTTGCCACAAAGGGAAATTCATAAGAACAGTTCATCACAAGAGATAAAGGTTACAACATCCATTTACAGTACTAAGATTCAACGTTTTCTTTTCCAGAAAAACTTAAAACAAACTTGAATGCATGTTACAGTGCAGACTTATTTCATATCAATCAAAACAATCAGCGAATTTGGTCGAGATATTTCTTGTATACTGCTGGAGTCATACAATTGCTCATTTCATTCAAAGGCACTGTTATCTGTGGAAAATACACTTTCTTACGCCAGTGAAAGTCATTTAGAAAAGTTAGTAAGAATGTACATCAAAGGAAAAGCAATAAAAAATAAGAATCTTAAGTTAAAAGAAGTAACAAAACTATATACACTTGACCATTTATTGAAACAAAACAAGATGTTGTACAGAAAATCTCAGAAATAGAAATAGAAATGAGCGCAAAATAAAATTACCCCAATAACCAAAGCTGATTCACATTCAGCATTCCCTCACTATCTTCTTGTCACACACTCTTACACACACACACACACACAATTTCCTTTTACACACTCACATACACTATGTCATCCCCCACCGAACTGATTTGGTGGGCTAAGGTCTCACACATGGGCCACTTCACTAACTTTCTCCTCATTTTCAGTCACCATGCCACTTTCAGTGTGATGCGGAGAAACATCTTCCAATGGATTTTCATTTTCTTTATCCTGCAGAGAATCGCCTTTACCCAGGATCTCCTCCTTTGTCACATTAAACATGACAAGGTCCTTTTCACTGGGAGAATGCTCAGAGTGACCATGAGTGTGGTCAGGCTGACCATGGTCAGTGGTGAGATTTACCTCAGAGAATCCATCAGGCTTGGTGGTGAGGACAGGGTTAGTCGTGGCAGCTGAAGAAGGAGGGGGTGCTTTCTTCTCTCTCTGTTTCTGTTGCTCCACTATCTGCGCTGTGGGTATCCTATGCAGGTAGCCATAGCCTATGTCGCAGCCCAAACTGAATTGAATGGATCACAATGTGATTAATGAGTGGAAACCGGAAAGCTAATTATATCTGATGAATTTCAATGAAAAGTGTGTTCACCTGAAAATACTCTAACAAGGTAGGGCTCCAACATACCTTTAGTTCAAAGAAATGAGTGTCAAGAGAAGTAAATCAAGAATTCCGAATATTGCGCTTTGAATAGTCAAGCCAGAATTTTGACCAAGATTAAAACTAAAGTAAGTTACAAAATATCTTTCTGCCAAACTTGTCAACAGGTGGCAGCACAATGAACAACATGTGGTACCTACCTTCCCTCTCCTCCCCAAGCTCCATTTGCAGTGATTGATACTTCCCTACACGTATCTGATTCCAGGTTGTACACATACAGCTTCAGTGGTTTCCCCTCATGGGACTCTATTAGTGTAAACAGATCTTCAGACTGAAGTCAAACAATATATAAACATATAATTATTCATTGCATTATAACTAAAATGACCAAATGAAAAATGGCAGCTTATCCTTAATAGACATGTAGGCCACATTTCAAATAATCAGAACACCACTTTTAGTTTAGGCATAACAACAATGTACATTCTGACTTTAAGAGTTACAAAATGAGTGAATAAGAGGCAAAATAATGGAAACTGATTTCAGCTGACCCTAGGCTTGCTCATAATTAAATTCACTTTTTTTTTCTTGATAAATTTTTGTCACAAATTGACGAGAAAAAGGAATGCATTTTATACTTTTTATGTCAAAGTAAAAGTTGTTCATCATTTGGTTAAAATTAACTGACCTAGAATGAACCAAAGGATACTTTTTCACTTAGACTACTCACTTCATGTAGCACAGAGTCGGCACCTATGATATAGTCTGTGTAAGGAATCAGACCAGCAGCTGAGGCTGGGGACTTGGGCTGAACCTCCTGAAGAGCAAAATACAAAGAAAACAATAATGAATGCACTTCTAAAACAATAGAATATGACAAATGGATTTATATATTAATGACAATACTACATACTAAAAGCTTAGTTTAAATGTTACTATATAATTTACATACACATAACTGTTCATAAATAAATCAAAACTTAGCTTCAGCATTCTTTGGACATACATACACATTACTCCCTTTTTTCTCTAAATAATAATGAAGGATAGTTCTACATATTTCAAAAACTGATAAAGTCTGAACTTACCAACACATGCCAAACATTTTCATTAGCTCCTTCAAATGAACAGAACCTTATGCTGACCCCTAGTAGCCCTTGTCCACCCCAGTCCTGGCTGGGAGTGATGGTCACTTCTCGGACCATCTGTGTCTTACTGCTGTACACCAACATTTTGACTGGCTTCTCCATGTTGGCTTTAAGCAGGTCCTTCAGAGTTTCATTGTCTTGGTTCTGGTTTAAATCATAACAAAGGCATTCCTTCTGTAAATTGTCTTTTTTTTTTTTTTTTTTTGAGGGGGGTATAATAGGTTTTTTGTGTGTAAACAAAGCAAAACCTTTTAATGTAAGAATATTATTGATGTAAATGCAGAGTTACTCCATGTTAAAATCATTTTAATAGTGAATCAGATCTATAAGATTAATTTTTATATGAAACTACAGAATAAGACCATTTAGGGTTAGTGTTAATTTAAACAAAAATATATCTATACTTGACCACAGCTTGAAGAGGATAAGTAAGTAGGTATATGAACTTACCAATCTTGTGTTTCCAATTGCAACAATAAAATCAAAGAAGGCTTCAAGTCCAGCCTTGTAACCAGGGGACCCTTCTTGAACCTGAAACAAAGGTTGCAGAGGCTTTTAAGTCATATCTTGGGCATGAAACAAAACATTTGGCTTTAAATAACATTATGTGTTAACATTTTCATATGTATGCTGACTAGATCTTATTTTAGTGTCACTTTGTTGCATGCATGTGATATTCCAGATGGCAAGACTGTTTCAGTGTTAGGTGAAAAATATCACAAAACACAAATGCAAAAACAGGACCCAGTCCCAAAACTAGTTCACTCATTGCATATCAGAAGTCAACTGCATATGATCCATTTAGTTGTTCCAAATAAGGAAACCGTGAAAACGTTGAATGCATCAGATACTAGAATAGCCCCCAAGACAGTTTTGTTGTAAACATGATAACCAATGCATATCATTTTGAAACATAAACCCATTATTTTTTCCAGTTATATCACTTCAAAAAATGAAGTCTGGAAACCCTTAAAGTAACACTGTCTGTCCATTTCGCAATTTAACTCTGCCAGCTCAGCAAATGAAACATGAACAACAACACAGCCGGCGCTGGCAACGATGCTAACTGAAATTTTGAAAGTGTACTTACTCTAAGAACGTGGTAACCTTCCGTGCCCCCTCCCGGGATCTCAGCACTTTGTGATCCTCCCATAGTTTAACTGTTATACTGCTGCCAAGACAAGGACTACAGAAAACTATGAGCCAAGAGAACCAGCTCGGTGAGGCCTCATTCAAGATGGCCGCCTACGTGGCAGCAAGTGCTCCTAAAATTATAGATGGCGCTCGCAGAAAGACGCTATTCGAGTGAGCAAAGTGAGAAAATATAACGCCAGGAATCAAAATACGGGAATTGCAACGTCTTTGGTTGAAAATAAACAATTAATTTAGTGTCAGTTATGTGTTGACATTAATTTAAATGCGATATTTGGCAAGTTTTCAAAATAACATGTATAACGTCAGGCCTACATATCACGTTGATATACGTTAACCCATTGAAACAACGTAACGTAGCTAACGTAGACTAAGAGACGTCAGTGATAGGCCTACATGTATAATGCTTGATATTATCACAAGGCTTTCTTTGACAGATTTAAAAGACAGAATTCTATTTTCCCCCTTTAAAGAAGAGTACTCATCCGGGGTGTTTTGAATTTTCGAAACAAAGTTAAAACTTAAAAAGTTGGCTGAATTAGAGCGTAACGCTGTTTACTGATTATGACGAAAACAATCAAATTACGTCACGCGTGACATTAATTGCGAAAACTAAACACTGGGCGGTGCAGCGGGCTGTTAAGAGACCGTCTCGCTTTGTGTGTGTGTTTTTTTAAGTTTGACATTGCAATTTGGAAAATATTTTTTATTCAAAAAGTATTTTTAAAATGGCAAGAAGGACGCGGCTTTCTACCAAGAGGACGAGGTCGTCAGAGACAAAGAGTTACATTAACACATTACCTTCGGAGATACTAGTGCATATTGGTAGATATTTGGATACAGAATCTCTCACAAATTTAATAGAAACTTCACAAAAGTTTACGGAATTGGGACACGATGACTACCTTTGGAGAATCCACCTGAAAGTAAGTCTACAGCTTATTCGAAAAAAAAAAGGATTTTAATAAAAAAATAGTGAATTTGATTTCCAAAACAAGTAACTGACATTACATTTACAAATATACAATTACCGTAAAATTTACCGTAAAATAGCCTAAGATATAAAAGAAAACTTATTTTATGAAGGGAAAGATGCCAACTGCAGTTGGATTCATCGACTGGGTCGGCAATACATCAGCACCAATGATATCCTTGAAGATGTTCGCTGAATTAACACACAAAGTATCTTTCATCAACCAACACATTACCGAAGAAGAATACAAAAATTTTATTCGTCACCGCAATTCCATGTTGACCTGTATGTTCAGCTTTGATGAAGATGCGGCCACACCTTTCTGGCAGAGTCCAAAAGATTCATTTAATTACAGTTTTGCCCACGACATCTGGAATATACCCGTGAAAACTGTGTACAGTATGTATCTACCGCAAATGAATTGAAAATAAATTCAGTATGTGCTTAATCTTTGTTTATGGTAAGTTAAGCAGAGGCACGCATTGTGCAAATTTGTCTATATTTCTTTCTGTCAATATATGATTTGGGTTGTATGTGAATGTTTAATTGCTTATTTTCCTTGGCTTGCCAAATGTATGTCTTCGTTTGTCCCAACTTGGACGAAAGTAACGTTTCACCCAAGGTCGCAACAAAATAGTTTTTGGCGTATTTTTCTCACTTCAAACAATTTTTTTATTTGTTCGTAGATTTTTTTTCACCATCCGTTTGTAACAATGCCCATCTTTATAGTCTAGCTTTTTATCTAACTTTGCCAACAGAACATTGCCGTGAAAGACGTGTGACGAGGCTGTCATGGAGTGATTGCAACATGCTGCACTTTACTATCACAGAAAACAGCCAATCACCTGAGTTCTACCAACACGCTCTTGAGTGCTTTGTGAAATGTAAGTTTTATTTTGAACCAAGAGAGCGCTGAAAATGAAGTGTAAAGCGCGTGTCAACTACGACAAGTTTTCAAAATATCTGTATTTACGCATATTTTTTAAAAAGTTAAACAACAATATACATGTTTTTTTTAAGACCGCGAAGCCATATATTGCTAACTCGACGCGGGACAAATATACTGATACATCAGGAATACATTTTTTTCTGAATTAAATCTATTTGACGCAGAAAAAATATCTCCGTTTCAGGCGTAGATGAGATCAATTCCTTGTACGAAAGGTGTAAGTCACAGATGACTATGAGACAATTCGCCAGACTCCTAGAACGCCATAGGCGACGAGGAAGTGCCATGTTTGAAGCCATGACCTCAACGCTAAAAAAAGGTGAGAAAGCATAATGCCTTTTTTTGTCAAAATACGAGAATGATGACTTTGTATACAGTGGTTTGATTGAATAAAGCGAAGTTGACATAGAGCATTTGGTGAAAACTTTTGAAAGTACGATTTAAATCAGTTTTACGGAGGAATTTGTTACAAAAGCTGGGCGAATAACTCAGGCGCCCCATATGACATTTCATTCAAAATAGTGTAATAGGTAAAATAGTAAGGAATAGCTAGGAATTTAGAAATAGGTATGTTTAGAAACCGAGATTAATATTAATGTCACCAGTAAAACTTATCTGAATCATATCGAACAAACAAAGTTAACGCATAATTATTTGACACAGGTTCCATTGGTTTAATCGAAGACGAATCAGATGGCACAAGTGAAAGGCGTCCCCCGACAATGGACACAATTATGAACCATATCAAATCAACGCATCCCTATCTGGTGGAAAATGAGAAGGAAGTTAACGAAGGCGGTATGTCCATATCACTGGAATTTGCATTTCAAATTAGTACTACTTAAGGTGGCCTTTCTCCTCGCCATCAGCTCTTCCATCTTTTTTTAAACATCAGTTTCAGACCATGTCTGTTTTTTTTTTTAATTCTCTCTTATCGGTGCGCATGCGTGATGAACCTTGCACGGATAATGGAACTGAAGTTCGGGAGACCTCACCTGCAAATACGAAAGAGAATGAATGTTGTCGGTCTCCTTAAAGACACTTAACCTCTACTGTTCAAGAATAACAGCAAAGCTATTTTAACATAATTGGCACTTGATTGGAAAAAAATTGGAACGATCTAAGCTTAATCAAGTCGTATGTTATTAAAGCTACAGCTCAAACTAGGTGCTACCGATTTGATAATATTACTTTAGAAAATATTCTCATCTTTATTACAGACGATTTTGAAATATTTAATTTTTCGTAACTCTAGGGCTCTCGGGGTTGGTGAATTATGCCAACAAGTGCTCGATGATATACCTGCAGACCATGCAACGTTACTTTCAGTATTCTTGGGAAAAGAAGACACACACCTCCGACCACCCAGATATAACGCTCCCAAGGTGAACTTTTTAAAAGAACACTCACAGATGAAATTGACAAAAAGGGGCAAAATACTTGAAACGAATGGGTATTTTTTAAAATATCAATTCGTTTCAAGTATTTTCATTAAAATGAAATCTAAGAAAAGCTATGACCAACAAACCTTTTTGGATTGTTATTGAGTTTGGGTGGAATAAAGCACATAGTTGTTTTTAACAGTATTTTTCCTATTTTTGGTGCCCTTACCTTTTCACAAGTAACACTGCGAAGGCTCTAGTAACTGTTAATATGACATCGTTTTTCATTTCACTTGTTACGGATATAATTCTAAAGCATCCAATCGATATTTTTAGGGCATTGTACACTTCATTTCTTTGGGAACTTAATGCTGTTGATCAGGATGCGTCCATCTGGGACAGTTCTGGACCACGCCTCGTTGACCAGTGGATGGACAGATTAAATGATGGCTGCACTCCGGACATGCTGCTCAGAGAATTGACCGTTAGGCGCTACATTCGATCAAACACCAACGACGGACACTTGCTTTTTGACGAACTTTTAGACACCGTTGACTCTTGCATGTGAGTTTTTCACATCTAACGTGGGCGGGAGATGAATATGGGAGAGTTCTAAGATTAATAAGATTATTTATCACCCTTATTATAACCCATGTGATAAAGTTTAACTGCAAAGAAAGATACTAAAAATACATCTCTTCAAATTTCACTTTTTTATCTTGAAGAAAGATGACCCTTTTGTTTACCACACCTAACGGTATCATACAATTTAGCTCATTCTACATGAATTGTACAGTTTTTAGTTTTTTTAACGTAAAACATTCCTTATTTTCAAGTGTCAGTAAATTTCTTTATTTTCTTTTGTAGTAATTACATCCAACTTGGCACTCGATTGGTGCTGCGCGACATTAGAAATTTCATAACCCGCAGACTGGCCGTATTCAGAGAATTTCAGGAGCTCAAAATTGAGAAAGTCCATCGCATCCAGCGTCAGTTCATGGACTTGGTCATCCCCAGCAGTTGTCTGTCGAACGTCACTGTGACAGGTGATTTTTTTGTTTGCTTGTTTTTTTGTTGTTAAACAATGAAGCGAGAGTCATCGGTAGCAGAAGACAGCGATAACAAGCGGACTTACACGTATTTTCAAAAAAATTTTTCTTTAAACAGTTCTATGAATGAAATATTTTTAAAAAGATTAATGAATTGTTTTTTATTATTATTATTTCAGACGAACTTCCTTCTTTCCGAGCTTCCACTCTCATTGCCCAGTACGAACGTATGAATGAAATGTTTTCAACCTACATGCGCAATGGACGTCTGAAATCTTTACAAAGTCTACGCGCTCTAATGGAGAGAATCTTTAAGTGATTTTTGCTTGAATAAAAAGGACTCTTAAAACGCTAATAGTTTCTACGTATAGGCCTACATAAGAACAATGCTATGTCTAATCTTAAAGAAAAAAAAACCTAGTGATGCCCTTCGTCTTTGTCTTTCTTGTTTGCCAATATGATTCTATCCAATGAGGGAAAATAAAGATTCCAACATTTTTTAATAACTGTTTTTTTTAAATTTCTTAAATTATCTGTAAAGCACATAAGCAGATTCTTAAGTTATGTAGACAGGTAAATACCGTAGTTGTGTCTTCATTAAATTTTCTTCTATACATTTAGTAAACACCTTTTCGATATTAAAGAACTTATGTAAATCATTTTTCTAATAGAGGAAATTAGATATTCAACATTTGTATCTAAAAAAAGGACATTTAATGTTTACTATTGTTCAAGAACGGATCTTCATGTTGGTGAACTTTCTTTCGTTTAGACTTGGATCCAATATATATGTACATGTATATACTATAACGGGTAGGCCTACAAGGTTTACACTAGGCCTTCTCTGCCCAGTTACCAACCAACATTTTACTTTTTACATATGACTGTATAAAAGCATTCAGGAAGGTTTTTAAAAACGAGCTACATATTGAAAATTATTTATGTTTTATAATATTATATAATAATAACTGAATAAAAAATATCGATCCCCACCCCAACCCACGCCATCCAAGCCCCCCATCAGACGGTAAGCACAAAATACGCCTTCATTTTCTGGCTGTCATCTGTGAACCTGGTGGAAGGTAATGTATAGACATCAAAAGTGCAGTTGGTGAAAGCCGTTTGTTTTGTTGCTTTAGTTGAGCCTCTGAGTGAAATCATATGACTATGTCACATGATTCTTGGTTGTTCAAAATGGCGTTGTCGTGTTATCAGGTGCTTCTGGCATTTGGGATGTTAGTAACTGGAAGCATCAACACGATAAGCAAGAAAGCCCAAAATGATGTCGTGTAAGTACAATGTTCTGTGAAATAATTGGTTTATATATACAAAATAAAATAGATGTTGGTGTTCAGTAAGTAGAGATATCTCTCGTAGTGATAACTACATGGAAGTATTAAAAGTTTTAATTGTTAAAACGTCCCATGCTACATAGCACGAAAATTCATGCGTTAGCACTCCTATTGACGGTTCTGATATGTACTGGCTGGTTACAGGAGTGCTAACGCATTAATTTATGTGCTACATGCCACAATGCAGTGGATGTACCAGTAGGTCTTGTTACATGCCATAATTAACATGGTACCAGAGCTACCATGCACTGTGGTGCACAATATGTGCCATAAACTTCTCAGCTTACTGGCCACTCGGACCACCACTTTCTTGAAATCTACTGGTCTGAATCAGGATTCAGTGTGACTAAAACTGATACAAATTTTAATAAGACAGGACATTTTTGCCTATTGTATTAATATTAGCAATAACATGATCTTGATTCTGACAAATTAAAAAAAAATTACTGTCATCATGTAACAGTTACATTTGAGAAAAAAAATAAATCAAAGTGAAAGCTCCTTTGAAAACTTACAGAAAAAATCTAATGGTCATGTGGGACCACTAAATTCACGCATGAAAAATTTTACTAGTCTATACAAAATTTAACAGGACCAAGTGTGTAGGACCAGTTGCTTACATTGCAGACTACATGGGTACAGGTACTAATACCAGCATAAGCATGTTACTGCCAGTGCCAGTTAATGTGTACTACTAGTATGATTTAATCAGAATCAAATGTTAAAGCTAGGCAAATGAGGCACTTGTCTAGAATCTTGCATTTTTCTTTGTATTGTCTTTTCTTGATAAATGTGATTTTTTTTGTCAGAAACTTATACCATTAATTTGCAATTTCAGGGTGGAGGGACTCCCTGTCAATGGAACGGCCACCCCACACAGCTTCGACCATCCATGGTTCCAGACTGTTATCATGTTCATAGGTACTTACATGCAGTACATGTTCCAAGATAATTGTCTCGATGCCATTCAACCTGAAATGACAAGCAAGTTTAACTAGCAGTTACATGCAAATTGGGCTAGATTTTTTTCCCCAAAAATGTGGACCTTTTTACCCCCTTAGATGATCCAACTTTAGAAATAAAAGACACTAGATTAAATTTTGTTTCAGATTGGGCCGTTTACAACCGAAGGTTGGTTCTTTCATTCTCCCACCAATCATGGCCTATGGATTCCATGTCCACACATTCTTTTGGGTTTACATTTGTTTTAATACTGTTCTCACAGGTTATTAATAAGGAGCTATATATACCGGATCCCCAAGCATGACTATAACCCTATAAAGGTATTTTCATCCCCATATGTCACATCACATAATTCTATGATTTTTTTTTTCACTCAGGAGAGACAATCTGCCTGTTTGGTTTATGTTTTCAAAGAAAGAGAGAAAGGGATAAATACCTGAAAGAAGTAAGTAGTCATAAATCATAAATTTGCAATTTTTCTTTTAAAAAGAATGGGGGAGGGGCTACAGGATGTTATTCATAAATTAATGTGTTCACTATTGATACATTCACTTCATATAACACTAAAAAAGTTACTAATTATGTAAGCCTCGAATGCTTTCATTCATGATTAGATTGGATTAGAATGGCAAGAATTAAAAGTAATTAATTTGATTTGAGGATTTTTCTTTAAAATTTATGATTTTTTTTCTGATTCAAATTATTTTTCTTTGCCAGGAAGAGTTTTTGGTGCATGGAATCAGAAAATATAGTACTGATTTACAGTGAATATGTATATTTATGAAACAAAGTAGAAATGTGGTTGATATTTTATTTTCATTAAGTCTGTTGATTTTGAAAAAATTAAAATAATTACTTTTTCTAGCAAGAGCAGAAGGTAATACAGGGAGACTTCAACACAGGATTACCTCTACAGCAACCAAGGTAGGTACTTAAATGATGCAGTTGTTGAAAGTGATCCAAAGTAGTTTTTCCCTTTTTTCCTTAATTTTTGCATGATTATATGACTAAGATTTGAGCATTTACAAGTTCCATTTTTTTTTTCACTGAAAAAATTGCCATAAATGCAAAAAGGAAATAATGCTAATAGGAATAATATTGAATATATTGATAGTTTACATGATTTATTTTTTAAAGAAAATATATGATTGATGTAAGAAGTTTTTAAATAGTCAGTCGTGATGAGTGACATTGGTCGTTTATTTTTAGGATATTTATACACCAATTCTTGATGATGAATATTCCCTGTATATATATATAAGTTTCCTTTTTCAGAATTTTTCAAATTATATTTGCCATTCCAACAGTTTGTGATTTAATTGGAACTAGCTTGGCAGGTGAGAAAAATGTGTTTCTAAGTCCTTCACTGTACAAAGTATAGATAACTTGTGCTTCTATTATATTGTGAGAAATTTTGCAAACAAATCACATCATCACCCAGTTGTTTTCTTGTAGAGAGCACTTCTGATATCTGCTGCATTTTTTTTTGATATATTTGTTTTCAGGCATTGGTCTTCTCTATGTGGATGGTTCTGTGTGGCAGATGTTAAGAGGATCTATCATCATATTTGCAGGCATTTTATCAGTAAGTACTGGTAGCATGCATCTCTATGGTAACTGGAACTCACATTCATCCACAATTTATTTGATAGAATATTTTTGACTGCAGCAGTGGTCATACCCAAAGATAGATAGTATTTACTTTCAAAGTCAATGTTATAATTTCCTGAAGGTGGAAATTGAACCTTATTGCATGTTGCTTTTGCTCAGTGTTTTGAACAGACATAAAATTTGAGGCTGAAATTGGTCAGGGAGGAACAAATACATTGTATCATCTTGATCAAAATCTAAAATTGTGGTATATATCCTGGCAGTAGTTTTCTAGCTTTACTTGAAGGACGTCAGGTGTTTGACTACAGTGTGGGGATAATTTTGGCACAAGATAGTATTGGATATTTGAAGACACTTACCTTTACTTGTGAGTTGGAATATGTAAAGCAGAAGCACAGCAACCCTATGTAGTACCACACATAATGCATGTGTCCACAGACTCACACAAATGCATGTTTGTACACACATGCACAGATCAGTATAATGAGATTATTTAAGGCTGTAAAGGGATGCAGCATAATTAACTCCATTATATTTTTTAAAGAAAATATTTCTGAAGAGAAAGCTCCGTTGTATCCACTGGAGTGGTATGATAGTAACAGTGCTAGGGCTGGTTTTGGTGGGACTCTCCAGTGTCTTGAAGAATCAAAAGGAAGAAGATTCAAAGGCAATATTAGGTAACACATATTACCATTGCATGGTTTCTCGTCTTGTATGGCAACAGTCTTGAGTTTGGGCTATCTTGGATGGTCACCATTAAAATTTTCATGTTCTTCTCAATTCAAATGATTATCTCATTTCTGCAGTAATTTCTTTTTTATGTCACTTGTCTTGGTGTTCCGAGTATACATTTTTCATTTAAGAAACAATCTTTTGATTCCTGTTATTCCAGGTATAATATTTATACTTGCTGGTCAAGTGGTCAGTGCCAGCCAAATGATCATAGAAGAACTTTTCCTAAAGAAAAGAAACTTTCAGCCATTACAAGTAGGTGTTTGATCCATACATTTACATTTTGTTTTAAGTAATATGAAAAAGTAAGCTTTTTATGTTCTGATATATCTATTATTAATTATGTAAAGCTGATGTAATATTATTATGTATTCTAGGTAGTTGGAATGGAAGGATCGTTTGGTGTATTTTTCATGGTTTGTGTAAGTATTTTTATTTATTTATTTTTATTTATATTTAAAGATTTATTTCGAGAAAAATCAAAACACTCAACTACTTATTTCAGAAAAACACTGTGACTCGTACACAGACACTCACCTCTGCCACTTAACTCATTAAATGTATCCAAATACACCTAATTATATATTTATATAAAACTAAGAACACTTTCCTTGCAGAATTTTAATTATGTAAGTATTTTTATTGTGTAATATAGAGATTTTTTCATGAGAACTGCCATAACATTGAAATGCTTATGCACATGACTTCTGTGTGCATTTTAGAGATGTTAACCTTTAATACAGAAATGTCTATATCTGTTTATGTATATAGAAAACATAGTTACAAAGCCTTGGCAATTGCAATGTGTACATAGTCATTGATGCTCTTATTGTATAGCAGTAGCAGACAACCACTGTTTTTGAACTGTTCTTTTTGAAAATAAAAATGTTCAGAAAATTATAAATTGTTTTTTTTTCTAGGCTGTCCTACCAGCCATGTACTTTATCCCAGGTCCACAAGTAGGGAACAGTTATGAAAACAGTATTGATGCCCTGTACCAGATTTATAACAGTCCAAGGCTGCTAATTTTTTGCCTGTTGTACCTTGCTTCAATTGCATTTTATAATTACTTTGGATTAGCAGTCACAAAGTCTTTGACAGGTAAGTATTATTTTCTTGGCAATATGTAAGTCTCATTACTTTCAATATGGACATAATTTTTGCTGATGTGAATGCAACACAGATATATTTGTAAAGGATTTTTTGTGATAATTTTTTTCATTTTATAAATGATAATAGTAGTTGGAGGGTACTCTCTTCATATTTGCTGAGCGGTATTCAAATTTAAAATTAGATTTTTTTACAAGTACTGTTTATTCATTTTCTGGTCTGATTTTGTGTTGTTAAATGTATGTGTTCATTCAATATGAATAAGATAAAAAATTAAAAAAAATAATTACCTGTAATATTTTTTCTCATGATTTATTTCAGCTGTCCACAGAACATTGATAGATGCCTTAAGAACCATAATGGTATGGGTGGTAGATCTATTGATTTACTATCTTTTTGACAAGGTAAGATGTTTTGGATCATTATATCATTTTCTAGGTTTTTAACAAATAAATTTTTACAAGAATGTGATGGATTCAGAAATATACCCAAAGATTTAAAATGGATGTGCGAAAAAAATGGACTTGTGAAAAATTTCAGGTGATCAGTATTAATAGAGAACCTAAGGGAATAATTGTACTCAGCATGAAACGAAAATGACATGGTGAATAAAAACTTTATTTCATTAGCAACAATTTTTTCATCACCATTTTATGTCACTCTTATAACTTAAAAAAATCTTTTCAGGACTTTGGAGAGGAATTTGACAAAACATATGGCCTGCTACAAGGTAGTGTAATATATAATGTTCTCTTTTGATACGTTTTGATGCATTTTGTATGTTATTTGAAACAAAACCAGGCCTGTATGCAGTTTATTGGGTTAGAAAGAACTGCTCTTCTTGGCTGAAAAAGGTCTGATCTAGGTTCTATGCCATTTTTTTAACTAAGAATGTAAAAGTTTTTGAGAAAAAGGTCCTTGTTTGAAGTTGCTTTCTACAATGGCATAGGAGCTGTTTGATTTGATAAATGAATTATTGTGGTCATGAAGAAAGTTCACAAACTGTTTTCCTCCTGTTAAAAAATATTTTTTGCTCATATGAATATATTGTTAAATTACATTGTTGCATAATTTTAAGTTTGAATACCTTTATTTTCAATTGCCATCCAAATCATTTACCATCTTATATTTTTACCCTTACAGTGGATGGCTTCTTATTCCTGCTGATAGGGACAGCCCTTTACAATGAACTGGTAGAGGTTCAATGCATTCCCTGTCTAAGAAAACCAAGTCAAGAAATGGAGGAGATTACACCAAAAAATCCCAGGCACATTCAGGATGCTGCTAAAATTGATGAAACTTCTCCATTGCTTGAAGAAACCTAGACTGAATCTTATGTTATATTTCTTATAATTATATACCAGTATATATATATATATATTTAGTATAAGGTCTAATATATTCCTGTAATATTTAGTAAATGTTGATATGTAGTATATTTATAGCATGGTTTTATTGCTGTACAATAAAGTGACCTGACAGAGGACTCCCTGTGGCAAACCCCCTGGGACCCTGCAGCCTTGTCCATAAAGTAAATCTTGGTAAGTTCCAGATGAGGGATGTGTGTCAAAGTATATATGAGAAATTCGATGGTTTGGAGTTGTCGTGTTATTAAAGTGCTACTTGTACCCAAACTTCCCTGAATGGCACAGTGAAAGGCTGGTTGTACTTCAGTTAGGTCACACAGCAATACCACATGCACATGTAACACTGTCCAGCTGCTGGCATGGCAGCAGCTTATTATTTTCGTAAAATTTCTACATGTTATTACAAAATTGTGTTCCAAGTGTATTTTGCACCTAATGCAGAGATCTCAAAGTTTCTGTCTCTCATGTCATATTTATATCACTGCAATAATTGTGTAAAGAAAAATTTCTGTCAAGTGTCTGAATTGACTGTGTTCATAGTTTAGAAAGATAGCTGCATTCATGTAAATGAAAGAACCTGAAACGTAATTATAAAGGGAAGTTAAGGGTAGTTAATAAGCAATATTTCATAGTGACCCCCATCTCCAGATTTTATTTGCGCACGTGCGTGCTTAATTCCATTATGAGGGTTAGCCTCAATTGAGGTACATGCTCCTACTTGTATTGTGGTGCATCACATCACAACCTCATTTTACCTGTGCAACAACCAATATTATGTGTCACCAGTTTTCTTTGTGAATTGGACTATGAATGTTGGGTAATCTGAGATGGAGGAGACATAAATAGTTGATTACATATACCAAAGTTTTTAATGTAATCCATATACCCATGAAGTGTTCCTATTTACATCTGTTTTGTTTGTATATTTTTGTTTATATCTTTTGTAAATCTGTTGAACTACTTGATCAATAGGCGCTTTAATCAGATGTGTTCCTTTTTTATCTGAAATCCGTATTTTTATGATAAAGCTCACCAATTCTGAAATGAATAAATCCGTAGCCAAGCTATCCATTATTTTATATTTATTAAAACCAGTTGAAAATTTTTGAAGGTAATTATTTAACTATTTGTACTGTTGATTTAAGTAATATACTTTTCTGAGTGAAACATTATTCAAGGTCACAAATTTTACATATTTTTTACAATTCAGTCAAACCTTGTAGAAAGAATTTTATAGAATTGTACATAATGTACAAATTTAGTTTTCTTCATACTAAAAATTGCCATAACAGTTTATGTTTGCCTTATTGTTTTATTTATTTATTTATTTTTCTTACAATCTAATGTACTGCATTGCTTAATAAACTCCTTGTAATTTAATAATGACATATCAAAACTTTAATAGGCATGGTAAATGTATTGTCTCAGGAAGGAAGGCAATATTTCTTGCACAGTCATTTATTGCATATAGTTGTGCAGGAATAGGTTGTTAAGGGTGAAAAATCTGCAGCAGTTTAGTATGGCAGACAAAACCACATTGGTTTAATAAAAGTTAAGTTATCATAATAAGTAAAACTTTCACCTCTACTATAAGCTGTTATAAGATTAGTTAACAGCATTTACTTTTAAAGTGTTAATTCAAATGATTAAATCAATGAATTCATATTTGCATAACACGAATGAAATATGTAATTTTGAAATATTAAACACATTTACTTAAGTGTAACTCTGATTCTTTGCAAGAGTTGTTCACATATCAGTCAACAAATCACCAATAAATCTATACTTTTTCACTTTAATCCAAAATGTAATATTCCATTTTACTCTTGAATGGTGTAATTACCAAAATAAAAAAGATTATTTATTTCACAACCATGATTACAATTCAATTTGATCAAATTAATGTCCATTTATCTTCACAAAGCACACAAAAGCAGCTTATATGTATCTAAATATATTATATAATATATAGTAAACAATGTATATACACAACCAAGTTCTGCAATTGGCAATAAAAATACAATTGGCTTGCTGTTACCCTGTAAATATAGAATATGCATTTACAAAAAAATATTACACAATAAACTTAAAAGGCATCAGATAAAATGAAAATTATGTACTTCAAGTTCAAAAAGTAACATAACAATACATGCATAATCAACATTTTTATTAAAATGACAAACCATGAAGTATTCTAGAAAAGAGGACGGATTCTAAAATGGTGCAAGCTACACGTACTAGCTTGAGTGCTGCATTTCAACTAGTTCTATATCTATCATCCCATTTTGCAGCATGGAGTATAATGATAATTGCAAAAATTGATCCCTCATCATATGTTGAGCAAATGAATTCATAAATATGAGTATAGGTCAGTTAAAATTCAGCACAAACTAAATTAGTAAGACATCACATACATGTTAAAAGCATGTAACTAGAATATACATAAACTAGTTCTGAAACTACACAGAAAAATCTGTGGAGATCTTTGTATAACACTAAAATAACATGGGAAAATATATTTCATATGTCATAGAGCTGGGGAATTATTTTCATTTGTTTTTATTCATTTCAAAATACAAAAATCTTCATTGTACAATCCTTGATTGAGAAAGAAAAATGTAGTTATCAAAGGACCACAATGTGCATAGAAAAGATTGGAATGCTCACATTTTGATTTTGATTAAATTTGCACTCTAAAAATAGATAAGTCTCAGTCAAGTATACTATATTTCAAAATGCACAGTTCTTTAACATAAATGAACTATTTTATGTACCATTGAAATATATTCCTTAGTTCTTTTACTTTTTTCTCTTGAATATATTTGAAAAAACTTTATGTGATTTCTTTTTCTCTTTTCCAGTTTTTGCCGCAACTGGCATCTCAACACTGCTGTCTCCTGCCACGTCTGTCAAACCTTTAATGGCAACAGTATGGTTGCTAGGTGACAGAGGAGGAGCAGCAGTGGCACCACCTATACCTTGTTCAAGTGGTGCCACACTCATCATGCGTGGACTGGTACTACTGGTGCCTTCCCCTCCATTTAGTGGTGCTCCCCCTGGGTGTGCTGGTACCCCTGGGTACTCTTTTATGCTGCCAGAAACCTGATCCTGGCGGGGTATAACTGCTGGCTGGGGTGGGGGTGCTGGGTAGGGTGGGGGTCGCCCTGGGGGTTGTGGTGCCTGGGTCTTCTTCCTTGGTGACTTGTTTGGACCTGGCTCCAGTGCCTGCAATTATGTCAGTGTTAGAAATAAATCACTAGAAAATTGTGTCTTATGCTGTGAGCTAATTTCTGTGTAACAGCCACCTCCAAGAATGCACTTAATGTATTCCTCTTTGAATGGACAGTTTTTAAATCTTGAAAATCATCAAAAAGGCTAATCATGTCTTTTAACAATAATTTTATAATCTAGACTTAGAACTCAAATGTAATAAATTTTGTGGCAGTGTGTGCTGTATGTGAGTGTATGCATGTTAATGATCTTGTACATATACTTCAGATGCTATGATATTTACAATGTTAGAAATAATGTGCACAAGACAGAACACACTTCTTTACCTGCTTTCTTGGTGAAGATTGTGAAACCAATGTGTCAGTGATATCACCAGCCACTGCAGAACTGACAGACAATGTGCCTAGTGAATAGAAGCAAGTGTCTAGGTATAGGCCACAAACCATTTAAGCTTTGGTGAAATAGTTGCATACTTCATATGTAAAGCAAGCATACTGCACCATTATTTTAAGCACCATCCAAGCAAAATCTTACAGTAAGAAATTCCAAATTGTGAATACTATACTTTGAGTGTTTTCAGTGACTTAAGTAGCATAGTAAATTGGCAAATCAAGCAGAAAGACAAGTGGATGAATCCAGTATCTACTGGTACATATAGATTCGTATGCAGGCCACTGCAATCACTTTTATTCAGCAGAAGTTGTCTCAAGGGAAAAATTAGTCTTTATATATATATATATATATACCTATTGGTTTTGAATTTTCAGGAATCTCAGGAATGTCAGGCCAGTCCAAGTCATCATCATCATCCTCCTCATCCTCATCATCGTCATCGCTGTGATTTGCCAATGGTGGGGGCAGTGAGGGCAGAGGTGGGGTCACGCCATAGTCACTGTACTCACTGCGTGCACTTCTGGCACTGGTGGGTCTGGCACTGTGTGGGACAGAAGGAGGGAGGGGAGAATCTGAAGGAAAAAAAGGGGGTTTATCTATGCAATTTAACCACTGAAGAGGTCCGTGGTCATTAATTTCAAAGGGGTGGAGGTACTTCTTCCTTGAATATATAGACCTTTTATCCCTTTAACTAACCCAACTTGAGAGATGTCATAAATTTTGATTCAGAGTGGACCTTTTCGGGCCAAGATACATACACACACACATCATTCCTGTACCTCTATCATTTTCTTTTCAAAAGTCAAAATGTTTCTTTTTTTCACCAAACAATACCAAATAGAATTCTACTTAACATACAGCAGATGAATATCTTGTCAAGCACCAGACATGACATGGCTGGCATTTGCCACTGCTTTTTCACATATTTTGTATACTGTAAACCTTTTCAGACTAAGACATAGACTGAAATTAGAGTTTTTAGACTAAGATTTCGACTAAGACCATGGTATTACCACTGGGCCTCAAACCTACCTGACTTATCAGACTGACTGCTATGCTGTGATGAACTATCCCATGGTGCAGTGTCTGAGAACTCTGGTGGTACACCATAGTTAATCTCTTCGTCACCAGTGATAGTATCACTCAACGCCTGCCTCACCGCTTCATCCACTGAGGAAAGCCCTTGTACTACATATCTGTGACCGTTATCTCTGTGACCATCTTGCCTGGAGCTGTCTTCTCTATGACTCTCTGTTCTATTGCTGTCCTGCCTGTTGCTACTGAGCGGTGTGACATAGCCCAGAGAACTGTCCATACTACCAATGGAGATGTTACCCAGACTTGTTTGCGACTCTCCAAGGGGATCACCTGCCTCAGCCAGAGCCTCATCGAATGCTTCATCAATCGTCCTGTATAGTTCTGTTGGAGACATGTCATTGGCATCCCTGGGAACGGGTGAAATGGTATGAACTGTAGGTGGTGCATGTGTACCAGAAAACACTGTAGAGGGCAATGCAGGTCCCTGCACAACAGATTGTTTATCGTCTACACTGATGGTGAACTTTTCGTTAGTGTCTTGAGGAATTTGAGAAGATACCATTTTGCTTTTTCTTGGAGAAATTGGAGGAGATTTTACCAGCCCAGATTGCACATTTGGTCCTTTTTGATCCACTTTAACTACAGTTTTTATGGTACTGTTATGAGATTCCAAATCTTTCTCAAGAGTGCTACATTGTGAAACGTCATATGAACCTTGCTTCTTGGCGACACTAGAAGATACAGTATTGGGGTATGTCACCTTATTTAATCTTAACACAGTGGGGTCACTTTTGGTTGGACTCATGAACCCATTGAAACGTGCAGAGTCTGGGTGTTCTGCAATCACTGATTGAGTATCCTTGGTAGTTATCTTGAGGGAATTTGATGCTGATGAAGATGGTGAAGAGGTGACAGAGACATGTGGTGATTTGTGCTTCTGAATAAGCTGTAATGAAACACTGGAAACATGTTTCTCTTCTTTCTCTTTTGAATCTGACACAGAATTCTTAAGCTGTGGTGATGTTTTCTCAGGAGATGGTGGTGCAGGTCGCACAGGCTGCGGTGGTATAGCACTCAAGTGTTCCACTGTTTTGTAAAGCTGGTTCTCATTGGGTGATTCCTCTCCAGTTTTGTTATGCTTGCTTTCATTGGGTAATACCAATGGTGGTGTTGAATCTGGCTTCTTGGGTGGAGGAGACCCTGGAATGAAAGGTTTTGACTGTCCATTGTGAACTTTATCTGGGAGTATGTTTGTGTTAGATTTGGCAGGTGATCCTGGGGATAAAGTCTTCACTGAGGTAGACATGGATCTTTGGTTGATAGCTGGACCTGATGTACTGTTTGACATCATTGCAAAACTGAATGGTTTTCCCTTCGAGGGACTGTATGGTGAGACTGGCCGATTTTCTGAGGATTTTGATAATACATCATTATGTTCTTTTTGTTTTTTATCAAATGGTGAAGGAGGTGGAGTTTTATCAGCTTTTGATCCAAAATGGTTCTCTTTGTCCTGCAAAGATTCTGACTTGGTTCCTGTCTTGGTCTCACTGTTTGATTGAGAACTGTGGGAAACAGAAATATTAGGACCAACATGATGACCTTTTCTTGGGCTAACTGGATGCCTCCCAGAACTGTCCCTGGTCATATGCCCACCATTCATATCTATGGTCAGTTTACCAGGTGTTAGCCTTTTAGCAGAATAATTCTGGCCATTCTCTGCTGCGTTTCTGTCCTTAACATCTTGATGATTTACCAATTGGTCACTCAAAGTTTGTAGTGGACTATGGCCACTTGGTTCATTTGAATCCTTCTGGTAAGCTTTAGGACTAATACTTGAAGTAAGTGAGGATTCAAATTCTTTGGGCTTGGTCAACCTGACTGGAGTCAGTGTGGGGCTGTGGCTGCTGTCAGTGTCAGGTAAATTGGTTGTTAAGAATGAAGAATCTGTGGAGTTGCTTTCAGATGCAGTTGCCATGATATCTTTGTCTGGAGCTACATTTACAGCTTCATGGTGTGTCAACTGTTTTGAAGGAGGTAAAGCTGAAAAGGTGTCAATTGAAACCGTGAATCAAGTTGTAACGGAAGGTGAAATTAATATGGTGTTTTAAGATGCAAGGACTCCTGTTCCTTGATAATTCAATTAACCACATCCATTAAATTTTATTTCATGTTCATAGGGATATATTTATAAATTCTTATTATCAAATAAGCTTCTGACTTTTTTCCAAGAATGCAATGTACTCAAATAGTTTTTAAAAATTTTTCATAGGGATGTACTGAAATACAACATGTTTAACAGTTAAACAAAACACTATTGAAATTATTTCCCACCTGCAATAAAGTTAATCTTTTTCTCCCATGCTGGGATCTCATCTGCTGTGGGTGTCATAAACAGGTACTCAGAACCGTCTGCTAGCACCACACGCAGCACATTCTTCTTTTTATAGTCAATGGCTACCTCACAGGTGGCACTGTATAAGTTGATTGGAGAAGAAAGAGCCTTGCTTTCTTCAAAGCCTAGAATATGGTAAAGACATACTATTACAGAGTGACACAAATAACAAGTATATGAAACACTTTTAATATGGATCTAAAAACATGCTGATTAGATTCATGTTTAAGAAAAACATTAGCAATAAACTTATCTTCAAAAACCATAAAAAGAATTCAAATCATTTTGAGAAAAAATCATTCATTAAAAATCATTTGAATACTGCTAAGACCTTTTACACATAAAAATGAGAAACATATATCATGGGTAAACAAGATGTTAAGTGTACAAGTACAAACATCAACTAAAGGTCTTTTCTATAAAAGTCATACATTGTTACCATATCATACCTTGTCTATCTTTGAAAAAGCACAACAAATGTCCACACAACACAGTATAAAAATTCTTCCACGATCTGACAGCTGCTTTTTTCCCTCCAGACTGCAGTTCCTGTTTCCTCTCTAAAAACCCTTCCATCTCCACTGGGGGCAATGCTGAGGGAAGCTGATACTTCTCCTGAAAACTAAGCGTCCTTCTCCTGGTTGTGAAACTTGGAGTGCGCTTTCTTCTCTCTTCTCTCCTGTAGGGGGACCTCTTACTGGGGGTGCTTTCATTGGAGTTCCAGGAGTCTGCCCTACGAAGTCCGCCCTTGTGTTTATGGGGAGTTGATGTGGGGGTGTGGTCACTGCCTGCCTCACTTGCTGAGTCTTTGGTTATAGTTATGGTAGTACTAAAATGAAGAATGGAGTGGGTTCTACAACTGACAGAAACACCAAGAGAAAAGGGGGGGGGGGGGGGGGCTTTCCACATCAACTGAAAAATTCTACTATAATAACAAGAAGAAATGTACATCTGTCACACAGACAATAGATTATATTAAACAAAAACTCCCTCAAATACTTAAACAAAAATTAAGAAATTCCACTTCCCCTATCACTAGGCAAACAATTACAGGCACAAACAATAAATCACATATCTCTCTGTTAGTATTCTGATTAAAAACACTCCAAATAGGGAAGGCGATGCTTTTGCTAAAATGTATGGGCCTCCACATTCCACCTTATACCACCTACCCGTTTAATGAATCCTTCTTTGGCGTTTTCTTGCCTTGCTCCTCCATTTTGCGTTCCTGTAATAAGCAACAGTTAGCAAAAGCTTTCAACCACCGCAACCACCTCAGATATATTATGCATGTGTGTTAATACCCTTGCTGGTCTCAAATCAACTGGAGAAATAGACCAAAAAATAAAACAAACCTCAATCTCAATACATGGTTAAATATCATGTTAGATTTTAAAAAATGAAACAATTTCCTTCCAACATGGCTAAATGCATGCTTCTTGGTGCTCTTTTCCAAAAATTGTCTATGAAGCATATGTTACCTAAACAAAAGTATAAATGTGAGGGTCTGTTCAGTATGTGATGATTAAAAAACCTTACCAACAGAATTCTCTCTTGAGTCTGCTTCTTGATTTCTTCTCTTCTATCCTTGGCTTTCCGCTCTTCTTCACTCTGTCTCTGCATTTCTTCCTGTTTTTTCTGATCTTGGAAAGCAGATTCCAACTGAATATAAAAACGGAGACTAAAACATATGAGCGATGCAAAGAATATCACCTGCAGAATGTTTGTCTGTCACTTTAGAGACTGCTTAAGGGAATTATATCAAACTTGTGTAAAAATGTGTCAAATGTTTCACTGGATAATGTATAAGCAGTAAGTTATGTGTTGTATGTAAAATTTGAAAAAAAAAAGAGCACAAGAATACTACAAAGGTTGTTAAACGTTTTTTTCTCTTTTCAAGGCATAAAAGTTATATTTTCTACATTATTCATTGTGAAAATTTGCCACAATATTACAGCAATATCCATTCTGTCCACACTTGATAGGTACATAGGTTAATCAATACAAATACACCATGCTTACCAGTGTTATTCGAGTCACTGCCATAAACTTGTCCTCCTGTGCACTAAGCGTTTTCTCAAAGTCTTCGTGTTTCTTTATCATCTCTTCTACTGCATTGATGGAGTCAGCAGTGATGTTCTCATGCAGCATGGACTCCCTGGCTGACATCCAGGCTTCTAACTGCTCCAAATCATGCTTGAAGTGCTGAAAATTTAAATAGGAATATATTTTTTCTTTCATATATACAAAACCATTTATGAATGAAAGCACACACACACAAGCATAGTATATATATCAAAGCATCTAAACCTTAAATGCCACAAATACCATAAACGAGTTTCTTAGCAAAATTTAACAAAATATTTTACAGCAGATTTTCATATTATAAAATCAAAAGTTATTGGAGTTAATGCAGAGAAGCAGTGACTGCCTTGGTCCTACTGGTATGGCAGGCAATATCAATTCATGTAGTTCACATTATCTTACTGTAATGACCAAAAAACAGTAGAAAGATGAATAAAATTTTGTTAACTTGTACTTTAATAATTTGTTATAATACGACCTAGGATTTCAAACTGTGAGCTGCGTGACATTTTTTATTTATCAAAAAGAAAAATTCTACCTGCACATCCAGATTTTGATCATATAAATCTTTTCTTTGATGCCAAGTTTTTAACAAGCTATTCAATAGCTCATCCAGGTGGGCCATCTTTTCTTGAATCTGAAATGTAAACAACAAGATAATGAAAAACATAACTTTAACAAATCACACATTCACCGAGTCATACATATATTTGTGTTGTATGCAAAACATGTAACTGATTTTTCTGTTTGTTACAGCCAAGGAGGATTTTGCATTTGTAAGTTAACAGCCCAACTCTAGTAGTTATGGATAGGTTTTGATAGAACTTTCAGGGTAGGTCAGAAATGGGCTAAATGAAAATTGATTACATTTAGTGGAAGTTAATCAGTTGGTAATATGAAGATCTGAGCTACCTTGTTATGCATTCAAAGTTTAATTTCTACAGCAAAACTGCCTGTACAAAGTGAGCACATAAGTCTGAGAACCACGCAGACATCTGACAACAACTATCTTGAGCAAAAATGTTCATTAGCTTGGTAGTTGGATCATAAATGGAAATTAACAAACACGAGCTGAAAAAACTTTCAAACTTTCATCAGACTGATGATGAAGGCCTACATCCAGTTTTACGGCTTTTGTTCGATAATTTCCATTTATGATCAATTATCTTTTTTTTATACACTGACATCTGACAATAATTATCTTTTTTTATTATACTTACCTCTTCTGCCAAGAAATGTCCATTGTTAATAATCTCCTGTCCAGTGTGTTTAAACTTGGTGAAGGCTTCCAGGTGCATGTCAACCTCTGTCTTGTGTTCCTTGTGTCTGTTAATGAGAGCCTCAGCACCAGCTATATCATGTGCCAGGTCATCTGCTGTGATCACAGCCATCATCTCACTACACCAGGCTCTGAATAATAATAATAATAATAATAATAATAATAATGATAATAATAATAAATTAAAATAAATATTATGTTTGATCATGTCTTATAAAGATATGATAAATCAGTCAACCTGGAAAAAGATAATGGTCTGCAAAAACACACCCTCAAACACACAGAAGCACAAACGTACACTCCATTTATCACTTGATACCACTGTTTAAAAAATCACAAAAAACCAGTCATGCCAATATCAAACCACACTTACACCAGTTCCCTGTAGTTATTGAAGTAGACCTGTAGTTGCTCTGCCTGCTGGAGCTTGGCTTTCCTCAGACTGGTCTTGTCCAACAGGACGTTCCAGCACTGGACCATCTCGTCATGTTTGGCTGCCACGTGGGCCTGAGCATCTGGAAACAGACCAAGGAGGCGCTCTGCTTCTGTGCTGTTGTTGTGGACTTTCTCACTGATTGCAGCGAGGTCTCCCTGGAAGATGAAAAAAAACCCACTGGTCCAGATTGTCTTATTTATAAGGTCAAACATGTTCAAAATGCTGTATTTATTTTGATATTTAAAAAAATAATTTCACTTTATCTGATGTTGAAATGGACAGCAACAATACTAATTATTGATCTATGCAGATTAGTCCATTAGATTAATTCTCAATTAACAAACCCTTTATTTGTGTCCATATCTGTTAGAGTAAAATATTAATTTCTGTGTAAGTTTCTCTTAAGATTTTGTGTAACAAGCTAGTGGAAAAACATGGGCTTGAAACTGTACAAGGATCCTGATGGAGGACATAAATCATAATGATATAACTAGCATATCCTGCCTATTGTCTGCAACTATGCTGTTGACAGTCAATATATTACTGCATTATCAGAGGTATTCTAGGTTTGTTAAGCTAATAATTACAGTATTTTCTTTTTCTCTATCAAAAGCCAATAGTGCATACAATTTTCAAAAGTCACCCATGATTTACACTATAATAATGACATGTAGGTGGCGATGAGCACTGATCCCTGACATACCTCCAAAGCTTCATGATGTCTTAGCAATGCCTGGACACTGTCCACATCATGGCCATAGTCCTCGGAGTCCACTACCCCTTCCTTCTCCTGCATCCACTCGATAGCCTCGTCAGAGTCACGGTCAAATGTGTGCACTTCTCTAGCTCCAGCCAGGGCCTGAACAATGGAAATGATAGAAATGAGAGAGTGAATGTTGTGATTCATCCAGTAGTGTGGTATCACGTGAGAGGGAAAAGTAAATCTAATACGAAAAGTTCCATCCTATACAAAAAAGACCACAAATGCTACAAAGAAGTTTATTTTTAATGATTCTAAAATCACGTACCTGAAAAACTGACAATTTTTCCCAAATTGAAAAGATACAGTTATTACCGTACTGATTAATGTATAAAAGACCAAAGAATCACCTTGTCCAGATCAATACATACAACACATACTATGAGCGCATTATAAAGACAGTCTATCCTATGTGTATTACCTCCTGCCTGGTGTTAGCCAGTTCCTTCACATCCACCCACATCTGGTTGATCTCCTCACATCTCCTCTCTATGGCCTCGGACTCCCAGTGTCCCTGTGCTGCCAAGGTCTGGGACAGGGTGTTAATGGTCACTACACGGTCCTCGCTGGACAACAGGTCCTGGACAAAGCTGGCAAATTTCTGCTGGAGTAACTGAATGAGAAGGCAGTACAAAAATTAAGTACAATGTGAGATTTTACAAAACATGCTGTGGCTTCTACATGTACAAGGTCTTAACTGACGAGTATGTTTTTGACAAAACTGGACAGTTTCTGGTGTAGCTGAAAACAAGTTAATTTAACAAATAGAGTACATTACTGTTATTTGTATACATATAAACGAAGCTGACATAAAAACAAACCTAACGTACATGTACCATCCAAAATTTTTTCCCCGGCGCAGTTTTTATTTTTGGTTTCACAGCATTCTTATACAATAAAAGTTACTTCATTTGCTTCAAATATGTCAATTCTAAGAATTCAAACAACTCTGTCTTCCTTTTCATTTAATAGTAAGCCTCTGATGTATGTCATAGGGGTACCAACCTCCACGTGCTCTAAATCTCTGCCATAATCCTCTGAGGAAGCAATGACCTCTTTCTCTTTAATCCAGGTGGCCACCTCATCAGCCTCGTGGTAGAAGTCATACAGCTGCTTGTTGTCCTGCAATCTGGTTCTTCTTTGGCTGGACAACTCATGGAGGGACTGATAGCTCTGTTCCAGGCTGGCCTGGAATTATTATAAGCAAACAGGATGTTCAATGAAAAGAAATGTTACAGAAAAAAAGTACAATTTTATATGAAAATTGTGCCACACACACACACACACACACACACACACACACACACACACACACACACACACAAAAGTCAGAAAGAAGGCTAAATCTCAAATCATTTGTGTAAAATTTGGAGTACTATGGAAATGCTTGCCTCACAAACTGTCAAAACTAATTGCATTATATCATGCAGAGTTCTGAAATAGTTGCTGCATGAACCACTATACAGTGTTTCTGCATTCAGGTAATTCAGAGTAAAACTTGCTTTAAAAAACACTTCAAAATGCATCAAGTAATACATTTGCACAAAGCCAAGCACAGAAATTTGCCTGATACTGTTTCATTTTCTTATAAAAGCACTAAAGCAGGAAAGTGTCTATTTGTCACCTGTTTCTGTTGAATATGCTCACTGTCATAATGTCCTCTGCTGACAAGGTCTACACATCTCCCTGACAGTGTGCCAATAGTTGTGTTGTAATTTTCTATATCCAGGTCTAGAGTGTCAAGTTTTTTAATGAGCACCTGTAAAATATATAAATATATCCACATACTATAGGCTGTTATATTTTTAATGATTTTAAAAATGGCATGAACATTTTTATATTAATTTGTTATAAAATGAGTAATTTGATAATATTAAAAACAACGAAGTTATACCTGAACAGCATCCTCATCTTTGCCTATTTCAGAGCTGGTCAGGAATGGCAGCTTTTCGCTGATCCAAACTTCTGCCTCAGCAACATCTGTGTAATACTGAAAATATTCATTGTGAAATTTCATTTGCAAAATTTCAAAAGTATGCATTAAAAAAACTTTCTAATTAAGATTCATGAGAGGCAACCCTTGTATTGACAGTCTAAGAGTGATATCTATTATCATTACTATATACTATAATGACCATTTCGCAAGTATATAAAAATATATAATAATTTCTAACAAAAAATCAGTGGGTTAGAATTAATGATAATTTTACAATTTAAAAAGTCAAAATTATATCTGGACAGTATTTAAAGCATTCTTGCTTTGCAATCCACAAAAATTTGCATACCATCTGTACTTCCAAAGAATCCTGCAAATGTTTCTTTCTTTCACTGGCCATTGACTTCAGTTCCTGCAGTGCTGTTTGTAGCTCTAGCAGACGATTCTGCACCTCGTCCAAGGCAAAATGCTGCATACTGATCATGTGATGTGCTGTGCCAGTGGCGACATCTATCAGTTGTTCATGGGCCAAGATTTCACCCTCAAGAGTCTAGAAAAGCATGCAGACTGTAGTAGCAAGTACGTTTGTCCCATCATTCAATAATTTAACCTAAATGTGGATATAATATTACCTCTTAATTGTAATAACTTATTTCTTAAAGTCATCTGTGTATGCTCTATATGCATATATGTAAAAAAAGGTTGTGTAAAAAACCTGTAAAATGTAACTATAAATATTTGAGTGCTCAATAAAGTTATATCATTATGATCACAGGAGACAAATACATAAAATATACTTTGATTTTAGAGTGTCACCAACTCATATTTCACTATGAGCAACAGACATATACAATTTCCATACCACCAAAAAACAAAGAACAGACAGAATGTAGAACACAGACAAAATTATACATGTATGGTGCTTGCCATGAGCTCCACTAAAAATCAACCATGAAAGGGATAAGTTCCAGCTACAATTGAAAATATACAATCAATGAAACTGGGGCACTTCATTGTACAACAAAAACATAAAATTATACTTCAAAGCAATACTTTCTGAAGTCACCAACCTGGTGTTTCTTCTGCAGGTTCTGAGCAGAGAGCAAGTTGTCTCCCAAATCAGATGACGACACCACTATCTTTTTCTCTCTTATCCATGACAACTCATCCTCTACATCTCTGTAGAACTGATACATCATGTGAGACTGGTGTAAGTGATCTTTTCTCACCTGAGAAGGCCCTTCTAGTGCAACATACCTAAAAAAAGAGAGATCCCTACTGCAGAAAACTCTGACAATGTGGTGAAATAAGTTGAGCATCAATCAATGGATCAATCAAGTGCACAAGTGTACAGATGATTGACACTATAGAATAATATTATTATTATTATTATTATTATTATTATTATTATTATTATTATCATTATTATTATACAATAATAAAATCCTATAGTGTCAATCAAGTGCACAAGTGTACAGATGATTGACACTAAGGATATTATTATTGTATTATTATTTAACTCTACGTTATAACTTTCAAAATACAGAGATAAAAGAAAAACTCTGAAAATTACAAGTGCAAAAGGTCCACAGCTCTATTTGGGGGGGGGGGGGGATAAAAAACTCAATATCTAGATTTCTGGATAAATACAAAAGATGTTCATCTCTATAAAGAGCACCTTACCTTGTCTTTAGCCCATCAACTCTTTCCTTCAATTCTCCCAGCATGAAGTGCTTGGCTTGCTCGTATGATCTGATAGTTTCTTCAAGTTCAGTCAGTTTCTCCCTGTGATTCATGACATCCTGCTCCAACAACTGATAGCCAAAGTATTCACATTAATAATCCATTGCATGTAAATGCTTACATAATTAAATTACAACAACTACACCTCTTCACTGTTAATATCATAAAAGTGGTTTGTCTCTATAACCAAGGAGGTCATCTTTTTGCCTTTGTTAGTTTGTTACTCAAAAACCTTTGGACGGATTTTGATAATAAGGATAATAATTTTAGGATTTAAAATCAATTAGTGGTCATAATGCATTAAAATCAATTCATTTATCAACTAAATAATGAAATTGAGCTGCCTCGGCTAAGGTCTGTACTCTCTGAATGCTTTAAATTTCTAGTTTCACTTAGTTTTCTTGTTGTCTTATATAAGTCTCTATATCTAAATATCAAGAGCATACTTTACCTGGTGTTTCTTAAGTAGGCTACAAGCAGCAGTCAAATCTTTGCCGTAATCCTCAGATGCCAGGTGGCTCTCCTTGTCCTTCAACCACTCCTCAAAGTCATCAACTGTGCGGTTAAACAGCATGGCCTATAGGAAGAAAAAGCAAGTGAGATTATTTACTGTAACAGATATGCAGCACTATTTGGATAAAGATTTTGTAAAAGAAAACAATCTTAATCTCCTTGTTTCATGCAGTGCAGTCAGGCCCATAGGTAGCAATTTTAAATGTTTTTTTTCTGAGACAAAAGGCCTTTTTTCCCCTTAGTTGAGCCAATTTAAGAAATGAAGCAGAACCTATATCAAATTTTGATTCAGAGTGGACCTTTTCTGACCAAAATAAAGTTCTTTCTAACCCCCTCCCCCCCCCCCAAAAAAAAACCAAAAAAAAAAAAAACTAGCTATGGACCT